GCAGCAGAAGCAGCCGCACAGCCCCTTGTGCACTTGCTGCTGCTTCTAGGGGCCCCTCCGGGGCCTCCGGGACTTACTGCAGCAAGAAATGCGAAGCCCCTCAGCAATCATGAAAAAGGAAACAAATAAAGCAGCAAGAGAATCATAACTAGGGGGCAAAGAAAGCCCCAGGGGGCCCCCCTGGGGCCCCTCCAGGGTCACCTGCTGTGGGGGCCCCCCCAGGGGCCCCTGCTGTGGGGGCCCCCCTAGAAGCCCCTGTGGGGGCCCCTCTAAAAGCCCCTGCGGGGGCCCCTCTAAAGGCCCCTGCTGTGGGGGCCCCTGTAAGAGCTCATTTGGGGGCCCCTCTGGGGGCCCCTGCTGTAGGGGCCCCTCTGGGGGCCCCTCCCGTGGGGGCCCCTCTAGGGGCCCCCGCTGTGGGGGCCCCACCCCTAGGGGCCCCTTTGGGGGGCCCCCATAGAGGCCCTGTGCTAGGGACCGCTTGTGGGGGCCCCCCGGGGCCCCGCCCCGCTGTGGGTCTACGGGGGGCCCCCAGGCGGGCCCCTCTAGGGGCCCCCGGGGGCCCCTGTGGAGGAAGAGGCACAGCGCGGAAGCAGCAGCAGCAACAAGAGACAGCAGCAGCGAGAAAGCTGAAGAGCGGCAATCCAAGTGCAGCAATTTGCTGCTGAGTTTGAAAGCTAAGTGGCGTTTATAAAGACAAATGAAGAAGAGAAGAAAGGCAGAAGGGGCTGTGACCCAGAAGGTCTTTGCTGCCACGGTCACCACCTGCTGCTGCAGCGCCGCCGCTGCTGCTGCTGTTGCTGCTGCTGCTGCTGCTGCTCGCTGGTGGGCGTACAATGCGAAGCAAGAATGAAGACATACCCACAGACCCGACAGCAGCAGCACAAAGCCCACCAGCCGGCTCGCCAGCTGCTCCCTCTTCTCCACAACCGCCTCAGCAGCAGCAGCAGCTGCTGCTGCTGCTGCTGCTGTTGCTGCCTTAGTTTGCGCTGCTTCTGCTGCTGCTGCTGTGCCGGCCCCTGCGGGAGCCTCCAGCGTAGCCCCGTCTTGTGCTGGACTTGCAGCGGGGACGATGTCCTGGTCTTCCTCCTCAGCAGCAGCAGCAGCAGCAGCAACTGCTGCTACTGCTGCTGCTGCACCTTCTGCAGCAGAAGCCGTCGAAGCTGTTGAAGCCTCCCTTTTGAGATCCTGCAGCTCAACTGGCTTCGGCTTATCCCCCTGGAAAAGACCTCCAAGTGTGCGTCTCAGCTTCTGCTGCTGCTGCTGCTGCTGCTGCTGCTGCTTGAGGGGGGCCCCCGAAGGGCCCCTCTGGAAGCGCCAAAGAACAACAGCAGATGCTGCTGCGTCCAGCAGCATCCCGAGGGCAAGAGCAGCAAGAGAGAGGGAGGGGGGCGCCGAGGAGAAGCAGCAGCAAGCAGCAGCAGCAGCAACAAACAGAGACGCGAATATGCACGCCACAGACACTATCCGCACCTGCAGCACAAGCTGCTGCTGCTGCTGCTGCTGCGGCAGCTGCTGCTGCTGCTGCTTTTTAGGGTCACCTGCGCCGTCGAGGGGCTGAGAGCCAGAACTGAAGTGAACGGATACCTCGAACAAACTACACGCAGCGCTCATCTGCTGCTGCTGCTGCTGCTGCTGCTGCACCTGCTGCTGCTGCTGCTGCTGGGCCCGCCGCGGCTGGTTGGTAGGCGCAGCGGCTGCAGCAGCTTCTGCAGCAGCACACTCGGTGGTAGTCCCCATTATTTCGGGATTTTCAGTCAACTCAGCTGCTGTTGCTGCTGTGGCGGCTGCTGCCGGAGCTGCACCCGCTGTTGCTGCTGCTGCTGCTGTTGCTGCTGCTGCTGCTGAGCAGTCCTCACTGTGCTGCTCCCCACCTGACAAACAGCACACGCTCCTAGACTATGGCGTTGAATTGCCCCTGCTTTTGCCACTGCTTCTGCTGTTGCTACTGCTGCTACTGTTGCTGCTGCTGCTGCTGTTGTTGCTGCTGCTGCTGCAGCTGCAAAACGGCACCGCGCGCAACAGCCACTGGAAGATGGGGAATCAATATGTGCCCCGCTAACTGTTCATCCTGCCACTGCTTTCAATATCGTTGCTGCTGCTGCTACCGCTTCTGCTGCTGCTGCTAGTTCTGCGGCAGCTATTGCTGCTAATGCCCAGTGCTCGTGCTGCAGCAGCTGCTGACCTCGCACCTCCTCCTGCTGCTGCTGTACCCGTCGGTGAGTCACCCAGTCTTCAAACTGTAGCTGCGCTGGCAGCAGCAGCAGCAGCAACTCCAGCAAGCGCAGCAGCAGGAGTCGTTCTAGTCAAGCTGCGCCCGTTCCCCTGCAGCTGCTGCTGCTGCTGGCGCTGCTGTCGGGGTTTTCTAGAAAAGATATATCATGTCTTCCATGATAACTGCATCGGCGATTCGTTCCCGCTGCTGTTGCTACTGCTGTTTTAGTTGGCTGCTATTATCTTGACCAGTGACGAGACTGGCAGCAGCAGCAGCAGCAGCAGCAAGAGCGGCAGCAGAGGTAGCAGCAGCAGAGCGGCAGCTTCCCCTGTAACAGTGGGCGTTTTGCCAACTGGTTTGAGGTGTTTAACTTTAAAAAAAAGAAGGACAACTTGGACGGCGGAAGGAAGCCAGGCGGGGGCAGCTGGCGACGAGCGGTTCTGCTGCTGCTGCTGCTGCTGCTGCTGTTGCTGCTGATGCTGCTGCTGCGCGCCTCGGGAACAAGGGGCTCCTGTACGACGTTACGCCCGAAGCCTGGCGAGGCCCTTGGGTTTTTTAATGTGCTGTTTAATCTTCTATATCAGGGACGCTGCAGCTGCAGCAGGAAGACTGCTGCTGCTGCAGGAGCAGCAGCGGCAGCGACCCCCAGCAGGAGCTGGTGCAGCACAATACATGTGCGACTCGACCTTTCACTGCTCTACCATTGAAGCAGCAGAAACGGCTCAAGAGAGCCGTTTAAGAGGAGAATTGGCGTTTTAGCAGCAGGATTGGTGGCAGCAGCAGCAGCAGGAGCAGCAGGCCTTGGCATCTTCGCAGCTGAGGCAGCAGTACGTGCGGCAGGCACTCTGTCGCACCGGAAGAGCGACGGCTGGAGTAAAACAAGCAATAAGCAGCAGCAGCAGCTGCGGCAGCAGCAGCAGCAGCAGCGACAGTTTGCCCCGAAGGAGCAGAGCCTCCGCGCGCTGCCCCCGGTGTGCTGCTCGACTGGCTTCGGGCTTCCCAGAGGAGGAGGAGGAGGAGCAGCAGCAGCAGCAGCAGCATCACGGAGCAGAGCAGCCGGGGGCCCGGGGAGCCGCCGGCAGCAGCAGCAGCAGCAGCAGCAGCAGCAGCAGTGGTCTGCTGCGCCTGAGCAGCAGCAGCGCCGGGAGCAGCTGCAGCGGCGCCGGCAGCACGAGCGGCCCCGTCTCGCCGGCCGCAGCAGCAGCAGCAGCGGCAGCAGCAGGGAGGATGAAGTTTGGCAAGAACATTCGGCGGGAGGCCTGGGCTTGCCAGCGCTTTCACTTTCTGGATTACAAAAAGCTGAAGAAAAGAATTAAAGCTGCTGCTGCGCTGCTGCGCTCGCGGCGCTATGCTGCTTGTGTGTCTGCGCTGCGGCTGTTCTTCGAGGACTTGGAGGCGGAGCTTGCTGCAGTGCGCGACGAGTACGCGCAGGAGCTGCAGCAGCTGCAGCAGCAGCAGCTGCTGCTGCAGCAGGAGTTCCGGCAGCAGCAGCACGCCCCCCAGGGCA